GAAAAATTTGAAGAGTATTGAATGAACTAGGCGGGTTCAGTTCATTTTTACCATATCCCGCACCCCTTTCCAACACCCAGAATCAATCAATATGAGAAAAGAGTGGAGAGAAGAAAGAGGCATCCCTTTCTTGCAAATGTTTTTCCCCTCACCTTCTAGCTACTTTTCGAGTTTTCATTTCATCTCCTCTTTTATATTTATATTGTTAGTTCTTTAAGGTAAAGCCTTATCGGTGAGAAATGACAACATCCAGAGAAACGACAACAAGAGGTCTTTTGTAGAGGTTTTACTGTACCATCAGCTTCGTTTTAGCCCAGCTGTGATCAAATATTTGTTTTGTGGAAATGATGAACAATTGAAGATCTTCAAAAATGAATGTGAAGCTTTGAAGAAGATCTATCATGTGAATGTTGTTCGATTGTATCGATATACAGAAGAAGGGAAAAGAGTGGGAATTGTAATGGAATATTGTCAGAAGGGACCACTCAAGAAAGGTTGAGATTGAACTGGTATTGTGATATCTTAGAGTTTAGTGATTCTTGACCCAACAATTACATATTCAATGAACACTGTTCTCATCTGGGGAATCCAATTATTTGATGCCATTGATCACATGTATCAGAAACACAAATTGGTGCATCGAGATATCAAACCAGACAAGTAATATTCAGTGGCATAAGTGTCGAAGTTAAATCCATTTATGGCATTTTTGTGACCAATGAATACCAGCTGAAGATTGGTGATTTCGGATTGGTGAAAGTAGTGGGAGATGGAACTGTTACGGGGACGTTTATTGGAACACAACGATATATGAGTCCACCTGAAATGAAAGAGGATGGGGTACAACGGGATGTTTATGAGGAAATCAAGGAGGCTGATGTACCGGTTAGTTTTTACATTCTTTTCAATCGAATGATAAGATACATTGAATACAGAATTCCCATCGAAATGATGTCTACAGTCTGGGACTTGTTATGTGGGAAATCATCGAAAGGAGGTATTCATGTTGAAATTGTGAGCTTCTTTAAGATAATAATAAGATTTCAAAACAACATATTTTTTTTTAGAACCGTTTTTACAAAATATGAAAGATCTGGAGGGTTTGATCGTGACCGCTTAGTATTTGATATTGCCATCAAGCGTGTTACTGAAATCGAATCACCTGACTGTCAATCAGAAATTCAAAAAATCTTCTTGAGGTTTGTATTCAAGATTTTCTTTAAACATTTAAGAATCCAACTATCAGATGTACTAACTTTCAACGTATTCATCGTCCACCAGCTTCTGAAGTTTTGAGTTCACTACGACAGAATGTAAGCCTTTCTAAAAAAGTTGATTTTTTTGTTTACTATTATATTGGGCTGGAAAGTATGAAATCTCGTGAATTTCCTTTTACTTCTATTTACTTATTTCAGCACGAACATAACTAGAATTTCCAGGGTTCATTTAGAATTCTTAAGACTACCAAGTAATAATGTTAGAAAATCTTTAGTGGCGAAATAGCTGAGAAAGGCCGGATTGAAGCTGACTTATGTTCCCATGCCATGTAAATTCGTGTTCCATCACTAAAGTTCTTCTTTCTTTCAAAATATAAGGAGAAACTCTGAAATAGCTAGCTATAAAATTTCAACAAAATTCATGGTTAAAACAATTAGAAAAGCACTTCTTGGTGATGATTTTCACGCCAAAATTTTAAGGTTAACTCGCTTAAAGGTTCCCTTGTCTATTTTGAAAGGAAGAAGAACTTTCGTGATGGAACACGGATTTACTTGCCATGTAAACATAAGTCAACTTCAGTCGGGAGCGATCTTTCTATTTTTAAAGCTAATTTTCCACAAAAGATTTTCAAAATTCAATAGTAGTCCTCAGACTTCTACACAAACCATTAAAATTCCGTCATTTAAATGGTAAAATAAGTAAGTAGGAGCGAAAAGAAATTTGCGGAGTTTGCTACTATACCGAATAGTAGGTTTTCCTTTTGTTGAAACTTTATACATCTCAAATATAATAATCTAGGCAAATCAATTCATCTCTTCACTTCCTTTTATGCCCACAGAAGATAAAAACCAAAAAGAACTGATGAAACCAATTGGATTTGATGATAGAACAGAATGGGTTATGGTTGAATCTGAGGAAAGGAAATATGAAAAGAGATTCGAGGAGGATAGATCGGATATCTTCCCTAGAATAATGCGAGATAAACTCGGAACGCTAAATTCTGCTAAAAGAGAGCAATTCTACAAAGAAGCACCAAATATTGTTTCAAGATTAAAAGGAGAAACTCAGACATTCAAAGATGCTCGTTATGTGATTGGGAAAATATTGCAGAGAAAAGAAAATATGGGAAATCTACATGAAAAGGATATTTATGAAATATTTGAATTGTTTGTTTTAGGAGATTTTGGAGAACAGTTCTGGAGAGAAAACAATGCTTTTGCACATCTTAAAAGTCACGAGGAGATTTGGATATCAAGTCTTCAAAATTGGGGGTCGTGTCAGTTTCGGATTAACAATTTGAAAGAAATAAAAAGAAAGAAATACACAACAGATTTCTATTTTCGATGTTTTATTTCTCAATTGACTGGTGAGGGATGGATTCATATAGAAACGGATGAGTTTATATTGAGACCGGGACATGAAAGATTGAATCAGTTTGTAAGTGAAGATTATGGAAACAAATACCAGGACAATGGGTAGACAATCCAAGAGCTGAAATCAAGAGCTATAAAATTGAAAATGAAGACAAAAAACATGAAATGCTTCATTTCTCCCATTACAAACAAATCCCTCTTGAACGAATAATTAAAGCATTTGAAAAACAACAAAAAAGAAAGGAAAATATCATAAAATCATACTTGAAATATCTGATTCCAATAGAAGATTTGGAGAAGAATAATGTTCCATTTAATATCCAATCAATTCTCGATGAATTTTCTGAATATAAAAGCTCTTATGGGCCCCATCCATTTCCCCACTACATATTCCAATTAAGAAATCCTCCTCGTTCAATTTGTCACAAGAATCATTCAGGGAAATGTCAAATGGATGGGTTTAGAAAAATGAAAAAACATTCATTGAGTTCAAGGAGAAAAGGATGGTCAGATTTACCTAAAGAATTGCACATTCCAATATGTGGTGAAATCACTGAAAATGAGGTTTTGTTTCTGGAAACCTACATGTATTTTATAAGATCTGATAGAGATCTGACTTTTCGTTTGGTGAATCATCCATTTCTATTTCTTTGCTGCCAAAATCTCTTAGATATTCCATTTTTGATTCTCTTCGATCATCCAAATAATTATGAAAATGGGGAAAGTGTTCCTGGATTTGATTTCAAGATGAAACTTCATAAACTCGATGTTGGAGTATTAAGAGAATACTTTAAAGAGTTGAAGCTCAGTGAGAGGGTCTATGCTTTAATCAAAAATGATAGGCATTTAACATCTTACATCCGCTTGATTGATTATCAAGCGAATCCAAAAACAGAATGGCTTGAGCTTAAGAAGTTGCCGAATTCGGCTTCCTATAACCAATTTACTATAAACCTATAACCAACAGGAGGCTCGAATCAGTAGTTGGATATAAAGCAGTTACTAAAAAAGCAAGAAAAAATATTTCTTGCTCTGTATCCTAGTCCTAGTTTGCAGCCCTAGCCCAACAATTTGCAAAGTTTTATTTTACAATGAAATCTTGAACTCTATGTATCTTTATGCTAATTGATTTTTTTTTATTTTTTTGCAAAACCATAAAGTGTTGATCTAAAACAGAACGTTCTTGATTCTTGGAATGTTCACAAAACCCATAACAGCGTTTTATTCGCTAACAGCGAATCAAACGTACTTTCTGCCCACTCTCAGTCATAAATGCAATTGTCAGATCAACACACACAAATACCAGATTTTCACCAAAAGGAGAATTGGAATGAAACTTTTATAATCTTCATAAACATTTTCCAATTTATTTTAAAAGATGAAACATGGCCATGTTTAATGTGTCCAAACCGAGTCACTAATTAGTTTTAGTTTTTCCCCTATTTTCTCTCACTTTTAAACGGATTTCTGTTTCTTTTTCGTTCTGTAGATATTCATTCACATCCATAGTCTAATAAATTTATTATTCTCACTGATATGCTATTACTAGACGCAGAAAAAAACAGATGTTTGTAAAATTCACAAATGTACAAGCAATGATGAGAAGAAAAGAATGAGTACCAATAAATTAATAATAAAATTAATAAACCCGTCAACTCCCTCTTCAAGGTACTCAATTCCTGCATTTTAATGGGCTTCTCCATCTCCATCATTGATCATTCGTCCAGTCTCCTCCATTCATCCCTCAACCCCTCCCGTCTTCAACTTGCTAATTGTTAGGACACATTCCTTTTGATTTTCAGAAACTGCCCAGCTCTGGTGGCACTTTTTCACTGTGTACTTTGTGATCAAAGCTAATAAACACATCCTTTCTGGCGTGCTCGAGTCGGTGTTGCAAGAAAAACGAAGAAATCTGTGCGCCAGAAAGGTGGTTGCTAACGTGTATTGTCATCGCCGTTTCATGGACAACTCGTTTGTTTCTTTTCTCTTTAATCAATACATCATTCAGCTGGCTGTCAGCCAACGTTTGTCCCCTATCCGACGAACGTCGTTTGGTTTGTCGAAGGCGAATGCAGGGTGATAACGGGTCGTATTTTCGAGGTTGGTTTGGATTGAGCCGAGACAACACCTATTCGAAAAGGTTGATATGGAAACTATCTTTCGTAATCTTGTTTCTGATGGCGATCGAATGATGTCAAAAACAAGTCGATTCGACAACACATAAGGCCAAGATTACGATAGTTTTTGGAATATCTATCTTTTGAATAGGACAGAGAGCATTCTTTTACAACCACTGTCATCGCTTAGTATCACCTACTTCATCGCTTGCATTGAAATTGAAAAGATTGAACACAGACTCCTCATCGCACAGTCATAAAGGGCTTCAAAAGATACTGTTCTTTGTAGCTTATGAACTACATCTTCTGTCCGATCCACATCGTTCTCGACGTCACAGCTTTCTGGTTGATGCGACGGCATTTTCGGAGAAACAGGAGCAACGCAGCTAACAGCGACCTCAAAAGGCGCCAATTGGGGATGGGATATCGATTGGCTGCGATGGTTCGTTCGATTCGTTCTTCGCTTGGATTTCCAGACTTGCCACATAAGAGAGAAAATTTAGACCCTGATGAGAGAGTGATTGACTCCGATGATTGACTACTGGCTAGCAACGAGAAAATAATCAGAGTTCAGACAGAAATTAATTTTTTCGGTTTGCTGGTTTGGGGGTTGGCGAAAAAAAATAGAAAGGCAGATTCTACTATTCTACAGTTTGTGGACAAATTTGATCCACCATTTGATGCCTCGAAAGCCTTTTGCAGATGCTGGTGAACATGTTGACATCGATCGTCTGGTGGATCGAGAATCTCGGACCTCAATATCTGCTCACCGCCAACAGTGGCTTCATCTTCTACACCGTACTCTATTTGATCGATTGCATTTTCAACAAGTTTGTCGACTTCGAGTTCCATTAAGCGTTGTTATTCAGCCTTGCCTATCTGGTGTTGTTGCATCAAGGCAATAACGTCACCAGAGTCCTCCCTCAAGCGAGAGCACCTTTCACGACGACACTCGAGTCAAAATGAGCTCATGTGAAACAGATAAACCTACGCCTTTCTGGCTAATTTGCTTGTATTTCAACCAAAATTTGCTTACAAATCAAGAATTTGATAATTTCTACATGGTCTCCGATTGTCATATAAATCTTTCATCAAAGCTAAATAAAACACAACTTTTTTTCTTAAATCGATTTTTATAGTTTATTTTTTATTTAATATTCTTATTTTTTTTATTTGTAAAGCTGCTAAACCTACGCTTTCCTACTCAATTAGCATTTGACCACAACGTGACCATTTAATATGGCGAGTGTTATATCAATCTTTCTTTGCAGCAAAAGTTTAAAAATAAAACAGAAATAACAGAAAGACATTTCACAAAATACCCAAACTGAATATGCGAAATAGTTTCTAGGAAATAAAATAGGAAAAGGTCGACGAAAGGTTTTGGTTGAAAAACACTTGAAATGAAAATAATAAAATCGAAGAAGAATGGTTTTTCAGAGAAATCCGAGGAAAAAACTTGCTATCGAATGGACAGACGGAAGTGCTGTGGATTTTGCGAATTGGCATGACGAAGAGCCGGAGCGGGAATGGCAAGGCAAAGTGAGATTTCCATCGCGGAGTTTGTGAACCCATATTATCGTGATCATTGAATGGCCGTTATCTTGCGACATGAGAATTTCCATATCAACGACGAGTCTCTTTCAGATCTCCGGCACTAGCGGAACGTGGAGATTCACTTCAACGGACTTTTATCCCTTTATCTGCAAAACAAGCTCTCCATTCTGATCCTTTTCAATCTTTTTGTGTTTTTCTGAATAGCTACGGCAATAAAAGAAATATTATACCCTGTCGGGCAACAAAAATGAACATACATTCATTTTTGTGACCAATGAACACCAGCTGAAGATTGGTTAATTCGGATTCGTGAAAGTAGTGGGAGATGGAACTGTTACAGGGACGTTTATTGGAACGCCACGATATATGAGTCCACCTGAAATGAAAGAGGATGGGGTCCAACGGGATGTTTATGAACAAATGAGGGAGGCTGATGTATCGGTTAGTTTTAACTTCTTTTCTATCTAATGATAATATAAATTCATTCCAGAATTCCCATCGAAATGATGTCTACGGTCTGGGACTTGTTATGTGGGAAATTTCGGAAGGAGGTATTCAGGTTTAAATAGTGACCTCCTTTGAGATATAACTAAAACTAACTTCGAAACAAGATTGTTGTTGTTTTAGAACCATTTTCGTAAACTATGAGAGGCCTGAAGTGTTTGATCGTGATCAATTATTGTTTGATATTGCACTGAAACGTCTTACTGAAATCGAATCACCCGAATGTCAATCAGAAATTCGAAAAATCATCTTGAGGTTTGGAATCAAGATTTTCTTTTATATTTTAAGAATCTACCTATCAGATGTACAAACTTTCAACGTATTCTTCGTCCACCAGCTTCTGAAGTTTTGGATTTGCTTAAAACACATGAAGTAGGCTTTTCTAGAGTCGATTTTCTCGTTTACTATTGTTTTGGGTTGGAAAGTATTTCCTTTCACTTATTTTACCATCATAATAACTAAAATTTTCTTGTTTTTTGTAGAATTCTTAAGGAAACCAAATATTAAAGTTTCAGAATCTTTTGTGGTAAAATAGCTGAGAACGGCCGGATTGAAGTTGACTTATGTTCACATGCCATGTAAATCCGTGTTCCATCACTAAAGTTTTTCCTTCTTTCAGAATATATAGGGAAAACTTTAAAATAGCTGACCTTGAAATTACAGCCAAATTCATGTTTAAAATAATTATATAAGCATTTTTTGGTGATGATTTTCAGGCCGATCTGCGAAAAACCATCTCCAAAATAAGCGTCCTCTGAGTGAAAACTGCCTAAACGCTCACTCTCTGGCGTAGCTATCTTTGGTTTTTATTCTATCTATTTTAATGGTAAAATAGGTAAATGGCAGTAGAGGGAAATTTGGTAGTTCAAACAACGGGTACTGCAAAAAAAGCGAGTTTCATACTTGGGTAATTGAACCAAACATAGCCGGCTGTATGCCAGAGAGTAAGCAGACGACAGAATGTAAGCGTTTCTAAAAGAAGTTGAGTTTCTCGTTTACTATGCTAGTGGTTTGGAAAGTATGAAACTTCGCAAATTTGCCTTTACTCCTATTCACTTATTTTGCCATAAAAATGAATAGAATTTTCATGGTTTATGTAGAATTCTTAGGACTACCATATCTCCGAAAAAACATCTCCAAAATAAGTGTTCTCTGAGCGTAAACTGCCTAAACGCCCACTCTCTGGCATACAGCTGGTTATGTTTGGTTAAATTACCCAAATATGAGATGCTTTTCTACAAACTAACTCGCTTTTTTTGTAGTATTTTGCTCGTTGTTTGAACCACGAAATTTAGCTGAAATTTTAAGGTTTTGCTTATATAGTTTGAAAATTATTCTCGTGATATTTTCGAGGCCCCATCTTCTATCTTCCTCGAATCTCTTTTCATATTTCCTTTCCTCAGATCCAACCATAACCCATTCTTTTCTATCATCAAATCCTTTTGGTTTCATCAGTTCTTTTTGGTTTTCATCTTCTGTGGGCATAAAAGGGAGTGAAGAGATGAATTCATTTGTCTAGGTTATTATATTTGAGAAGTATAAAATTTCAACAAGAACATAAGTCAACTTCAATCCGGCCGTCCTCAGCTATTTTACCATCAAAGCTTTTCAGAAATTCATATTTGGTAGTCCTAAGCATTCTACATAAAACACGAAAATTCTGTTCATTTTTATGGTAAAATAAGTAAATAGGAGTAAAGGGAAATTTGCGAAGTTTCATACTTTCCAATCGAATAGTTTAGTAAGTTCCCTTTTTGTTGAAATTTTATACTTCTCAAATATAATAACCTAGACAAATTAATTCATCTCCTCACTCCCTTCTATGCCCACAGAAGATAAAAACCAAAAAGAACTGATGAAACCAATTGGATTTGATGATAGAAAAGAATGGGTTATGGTTGAATCTGAGGAAAGGAAATATGAAAAGATAATTGGGGAGAATAGATCGAATAACATCCCTTACACAGTACATTCAATTACATACTGTGTACCGTGTACTGTACAGTCTACAGTCTGGGACTTGTTATGTGGGAAATCATCGAAAGGAGGTATTCACGTTTAAATAATGACCTCCTTTGAGATATAAGTAAAACTTCGAAAAAACATTATTATTATTTTAGAACTATTTTCACAATCTATGAGAGATCTGGAGAGTTTAAGCGTGACCGCTTAGTATTTGATATAGCACTCAAACGTGTTACTGAAATCGAATCACCTGAATGTCAATCAGAAATTCAAAAAATCATCTCGAGGTTTTGATTCAAGCTCTTCTTTTATATTTTAGGAATCCATCTATCAGATGTACTGATTTTCAGCGTACTCATTTTCAGTGTCCAAATCAACCTTCCGAAGATTGGATTGTTCTGAAATTTTGGGAAATTATGTAATCATTGAAGCGTTTTATTTTAAAAAGTATGCAATCACTCAAAAATATATTAGCTCATGAATGCTAGAAACCAGGATTTTGAACTCTTACATTAAAATGCCTGAAAAAGTTCGAAAATAAAACATTTTTCAAAAATTCAAAAAAGCCATCTAGTAGATTAAGGATAGGGCTTTTGAATCAAGCAAACCGTTTTTTGATTGGATAAGCCGTTTTTTCAGAAAATACATTACCCAAAAACGATCGTTTATAACTTGCCAACCTAATAATTTGGCAGTTGCCTTTATTACTGAGAAAGGTAGAAAGTACGTTTTATGGTGGGTTTTTTGAACATTTCAATAGTAAAGAAGGTTTGGTTTTAGATAAACACTTTATTCATTGCTAAAAAAATGAAAAAACAAACACCATAAAGACAGATAGAGTTCAAGAATTAGACTAGTAAAATAAAAACTCTGGAAATTGTAGAGTCGGGAAGACTACGGTTAGGATACAGCGGAAGAAACATTTTTTCTTTCTTTTTTAGTGACTTCTTTATCTTCAATCACTGATTCTAGCAGCCTGTTGGCTAGTGAATTGGCTATAGGAAGCCGAATACGACACTTTCTCAAAGTCAAGCCATTCTGTTTTTGGATTTCCTTGATAATCAATTAAACGAAGGTAGGTTGTCCATCCATGACTCTTGATCCAAGCATAGACCCTATCATTGAGCTTTCCCTTTTGAAAGTATTCTCTTAATACTCCAACATCCAGATGATGAAGCTTCCTCTTGAAATCCAATGCAGGAATACTTTCCCCATTTTCATAATTATTTGGATGATCCAAGAGAATCAAAAATGGAATACCTAAGAGATTTTGGCAGCAAAGAAATAGAAATGGGTGTTCCATGAGACCAAAAGTCAGAACTCCGTCAGCTCTTTTGCAATCCATATAACGGTCCAGAAACCAAATCTCATTTTTCGTGATTTCACCACATAATGGAATGTGAACTTCTTTAGGTAAGTCTGACCATTCTTTCATTTTCCTAAATCCATCCATTTGACATTTCCCTGAATGATTCTTGTGACAAATTGAACGAGGAGGGTTTCTTAATTGGAAGATGTAGTGTGGGAAGGGAAAAGGCCCATAAGATCTTTTAGATTCAGAAGATTCATCAAGAAGTTCGATATGAAATGGAACATTATTCTTCTCCGAATCTTCGATTGGAATCAGATATTTCAAGTTGAATTTTATGATCGTTTCCATCCTTTTTTGTCGTTTCTTTAATGTCTCAATTATTCGTTCCAGAGGGATTTGTTCGTAATGGGAAAAATGCAACAATTCATGTTTTTTGTCGTCATTTTCGAGTCCATGGCTCTGGATTTCAATTCTTGGATTGTCTACCCATTGTTCCGGTATTTCTTTAAATAATTTCAAGTCTTCACTTACAAACGAATCCCATCCTAGATGAATCCATCCCTCACCAGTCAATTGAGAAATAAAACATCGAAAATCGAAATTTGTAGTGTATTTCTCTCTCTTT